CTAGAAGGTAACGTCACATACTCCAGTTTCCAACCCAGCTAATGCTTCATAGGCGAGCACTCTAGCTTAAGCTAGTCGACGATCATTCGCATATAGGGTCAAGATCTGGTCGGATTAGGTCTGATATTGTTTCGAATAAGTACACGACTATGAGAAAGAGATGAGTGATATCACGAACAGTGGGACTGTTAAGGAATGAGATATGATCACGAAGTGGTAGCACTGAACATAGTGGTATGGCATATGACAGTCTCAACCGACAAGCCCAGCTACAACCACACAAACTCTTTGCACAGCTTCGATTCCTGATCTGTGTGCCATCGTGTAGTCTTTTCTGTGAATCAAAACATCCCTTCCTTCATGATCGACAAACTATCATCAGCTCAACTGACCCTGGCTCTGACCAAGATCGGTGACAGTGTGCTCATCAAGACATCGTACACAGCAAGTGCCACAACGGATGCAAGATACAAATGACCCGCCAGTATTGCCAGAATAAGGAATACAAAAGGTAGCATCTCAAATAAATCTGTGGAATTCTCCCATTCGCAGGCTATGAGTGAACCATCCACACTGTAGTACTTTGCTGTTGTTGACATGTACTCTGTCGCATCTCTTCGAGGACGAAAGAATAAAAGAAACCAATTGTCTGACCACGAAGCGAGATTTTCCCTAGGCTTTTGGAATTTGACGTAAAATTGGGTTGGGAGGCTCTGAGCTATACGAGGTCTTTTGAATGGTTTAGCGATGACCCGGCAAATTGAGGTAAATGCCGGGTCATCAATGCTGCGCTGTCCACAGGACTCGTATACGATATCAACTCTTGAGTACTCGGGCAGATATTCCCACCACGATAAATTCAGGGTGTCAAAGTTCCGCCGTGGCTGCGCGGCCTCGTTTCGTATGACCATGTTCATGTGTCGCATGTCCAGAGCATCGACAGACAACGTGTAGTTTGGATTTGCACGCCGAATGAGGCAATACGAGCGTCTCAAGGTTTCATAGTCGATCTCATGTTTGATTGTTCGACGAGTCCGGCGGAGGCCGACGAAAGGCTGTTTGCCCAGAAGTCGAAAAGACTTTTTACCATCGCTCGTAGGTAGGAAATATGAGTAAATCATAATGCGCAATTCTGGGGGTAATGCTAAGAACGGGAAGTAAGCCATCGGAACGATAACTGTCATATGTTCTGACGTTGGGCATGCTAAGATTTGGTATCCTTTTGTGATGTGTTTTGAGAGGCGGCGGGGCTGTACATACTGCGCAGGCAGCAATGCCAGGGTTAACAAGCGCATAGAGAAGCAGACAAACACCGGCATATCTGTTGCCTTACGCACATTGGATGCACCCATGAGCAAGCAGTTTGAGACCTCGACGCATTGCTGTATACGCTCATGATTACGACCGAATTTTGGGCTGAAAGTCGACCCTCGAGATAGTAATGTGAAACACCAGAAATGTAACATTGTGTACGATGACACCCCTACAGCGGGAACAACTCCCATCCACCAACAACGAAGGCCGCAGCGAGCGCTGGCTGAATTGGCACACCTGTTGCGAACGCCGCGTTCGACGTGGTAGACGATTCGGTAGTGGTTGGAGTCGCAGTAGCCACGCTTTGCGCAGAAGACAAGCTCGCCACCGCACTGGACATGCTTGTTACCATAGGCCCATCAGGCTTGGTGGCACACGGGTTCCCATCTCCCCACTGTAGCTGATCCAGCGAACACAATTCGGACTCATTTGCGTCAATCATAGCGAAAGTGCCCAGTTGCGCACAATTGCCTGTAACATTCCCGAAGGTAGTTGGGTCGGGCGCCTTCCACTCGTTAGGCCACGCTGGAAGAAGCGTAAAGAGAAGTTTAGTGTCATGCGAAACACCTATGTCAGGCCGAGGGTGGTCGCATCCTTCATTCACGTCACCCCACAGGATGTACCACCTCAATGAGTAGGCATTTCCTCCATACTTCGGTCCATGGACCCAATCCCTAGGATTCGTGTGGTTGACAAGGATATATGGCGATCCATCAGACGTTGTAAACGTGGATGCATTATGTGAGGTAAAGCCTATCGACCATTGATCCTCTATGACACCTCCTGGTATTGGTTCGTCGAGGGTGTGGTACGGCATGATATCCCATGCGAAAGTGAAGGGGCCAAGCTCAGCAGCCGCGGTCAAATTCTGGAATGCGAACACGATGGGTAACGATGAGGTAAAGTCGTACGTTTCATTTTCGCGAGGAAATATGACGTCGATTTCGACAGCTGGAAGGTTTGATGTTGGTGCTGAGGTTTGCGATGATGATGCGGGCATGGAGGACGCGACAGCCGTTGCCGCGGTCTGGGCAAAGGCTGATCGGCAGGCAGCCAAGGCTGCGACTAAACACCAAGAACAACGGGCCATCTTCAGGGAATATTTTTGGGAGCAGCTTTGAAGGACGCAGACGACAGCGTCGCTCAATGAATGTATTGATACAAAAGTGAGTTGCACCTCATGCCCAGGGGCCAGAATCCTTTGCAATCTTAACCTGCCGCGCTCCCTTCTTAGGCGCCCAGCTGGCCGGTCACCATTAGTGTTGATCTCTCCTTTTATGGAAAATCCCCAATCGTCCTCTAACGACACCGAGTTCATCTAGTACTAAAGCTTAAAAAGAGTAGAACTCCACCTCAGCGATACCTGTTCTGGCCGGAATTGTTATAGCGATGGGGAATCCTCCATAGTCAGGATCCTCATTCGGCATCATCGCGTTGGCTCCACTCCTCGTCTCATCGCCACCTAAGGTCCTCAGTGTCCGTAACTTTCCTATCGCTATGTCTTCCACGACCTTTTCTTCGTTCTTCAGAATGCCGTTAAACTTCGTGTCAGCCCTAGTCGATTGGCCCATCACTTGAAAGCCCCAACCAATAAGCAAAAAGCGTGCTCCGCCACGATAAATGACCATGCCGCTACCGGTCCCGGGCTTGCCAAAAACGAAAGAACGCTCAATAGTGATATCCCAATCGCCAAAACGCTGCTTGATGGGTTTCGACGGATCTTTGTCGCCGGTGAATTCGTCAAAACAAAAACCCACCAACGAGCCTGGGTTACGTTGCGCTTCCAGTACGATTTGAGAGACTTGTGATAGCAGCCCATAGTGCTTTGTGTAAGGATTAATTTCCGGCTCCAAAGTATCGATGCCAAAGGGACTGGCTAACAGAGCCTGGAATGTTCCGTAAGCTATCCAGATGCGCCGAACCCCGTATTCATCTCGTCGCTGCTCCGGGATGAACAGAGTATTTCCACGATGTCGGTACTTGCCGCATAAGCTAGTGTACTCATTAAGGTAGATATCGGGCGCGATGAATTCGAGGTCAGGTGCGAATTGCAGCCAAATATCGAGGACATTGACTGTGCCGCCACCTGACGGATAATCTCCTGGATGACCGCCACCACCAACTACAATGGGGGTATCGTTATCGGCATCATCTCCCGCATAGTTCTGCCATACATTCGTGTATAGCGGAATGGGATACTCCGCTTTTCCAGCTGCTGCTACGCGGTTCACGTAGTGTGCATAATGATATGCCATGAAGAGCTCGTCAGTCCTGCTACTGACGCCGAACACTTCTTCCCAAGTGCCAGATTGTGGCTTCGATCGTGCGACAAAGGTCTTGAGATTGGCTTTTAGATCGGGGTGTAGTTGATCGTAATCGCGGCTCAAGAATTGGAGAAGTTCTGCGGGCACTGGTTCGGAGAAGACTCTGTTGGCCTCGACACTTCCGTCGCGACTGTCAAACAACAGGCCGACTTCGTTTTCGACTTGCACCATTAATACAGTACTATGTTTCTCGTCTACCTCTTTGAGGTGACTAAGCAACTTTCGGAATGCTTTCACGTCCGCTTCAACGTTCTCCTGATTGAAAAGGGACAGCACATCCGCAACCTCAATCACACCTCCCGCCTTTCTAAGTTCGGCACGAGGGAAGCGTTCTGGATTCGTCTTCACCCATGATGGGGTGTACGTTGATCTGCCTAGCCATGTACGTGTCAGGGTGTGGAGAGAGGCCGCGAAGATGTACCAACATACCATTTTTGAAAGATCCGAACCACAACAAGATTAGGTGCAAGCCGTGTTCTCGAGCGCCCAATATGACTTTGTCCAGCTCTTCAAAGTCGAACTTTCCCTCTTCAGGCTCGATCATCTCCCAACTGACAGAGCCAAGTAGAGTATTGACATTGGTTGCGACCATCTTGGGCCAGATCTCGCTCATGTATTCGGCAGACGAAAGCGACGAGTTTTGCAGTTCTCCGCCCAACATAAGGTATGGCTTGCCATCAACAATGAGTTGCTTGGTGTTGTCATGTTGTCGGAGGTGTGGAATGGTCGAATTGGAAGCCATGATAGATTAAGAAAGCCCAGAGGGTCCGCGAGCATGTGCAATGTCTGGAAACGAAGATACGTCGTGCATCGCCAGCACCCAGAGATGCAGGTTCATCGTACAGCACGTGGAGTCTTGCGGGGCCGCTCCAGCGGGGTAGTACCTACCGAACATAGGAGTAGGACATTTACCGGTGCTAGAAGGTGACGAGATCGGAGCGTGCTTGATGGATAGGTGCCGACGCTAAGACGTATTAGGTTAATGCTGTGCTTCTCCCCTCATCTCACCTTGGGCGTCACCAAAGTGCAAGAGCAACCGGACTGTCAAAGTTGCGAGCTGCATATCAATTGCCAGTGCTCTTGTCGTTTAGTTCACCTCTCAGGGACTCTGCCAGCTGTCGAAGAGATGCCTGAAGACATCCACACCCACGTCAGGAGCCCCTCTATGCTGCTGTTACTATGAGTATCTCCTTCTTGTCTACTACATGAGATTCATTCCCTCCAGAAATCCCTCGAAACTACCAAATCTGTCCCACCCACCTAACTCATCGACGACCTGCTTGCTCCATGCCACACCCTTTGCTTCTATGTATGTCTCTGACTAAACAGCTACGCCGTTCCATAACCAGCAAGAGGCACCTCTCAAGTAGCCTGTGAAGGCGCGCCTGGCCCTCTTCCTCCACTCTGCTTATCATCCGCTTCATCCTTGCGCTTGGGAAGATTGGAGTCACCCCCAGGTTTACCCTCCGGCTGGGACGCCACAGCGTTAGGATTGACATTCTCGGGTCTAGGAGCCGGTTCGATGTAGAATTGATCCGTATCCTCAAAGCTGCCAGGGTCGTAGACAGCAGCGCTTCTACCATCGTCGCGAGGAGATGACTGGTCTGGAACGCTGCTGTGGAAGTTGTCGCTGCCAAAAGGTGTGTAACCGCCCGTTCCCGCAACCGGTCCTCCAGTAGCTGGATTCATGTATGGGATGGGGTATCGTCCAGCATATAGCCCCCGCGTCCCCGTGCCGTTGAGAGGAAATCCCTCATGAGCCCGAAATTGATAAGTTGTCGGGCGCCTGTTGAACCTGTTCCTCTCCCTCTCTTCCATCGGCCCAGAGTTTCTACCCGCGGCAATCCATGCTCTTCTCTCCAAGTTCGCTCTCTCCCTCTCCACGTCTTCCAGCCTCGGTGCAAACCTAGGCAATATCGCATTAGCACGAGCGCGATTCATGCTAGGGTCAAGGGAACTCTCAGTTCCCTCCAACGGACGGCCAACCCCCTGCGTGTAAGGCGTGTTTCCATAGGGATCCGAGTTTGTCTGACCATGCGCCCTGCGTCGGCGGTTGGCCTCGCGGATTTCGGCAGCTCTGCGCGCGAGGCGAGATGGCGTTGTTTCTGCAGTGTTGGTCGTGTCTTGTCCTTGGTCGTGGCCAGTCAAAGGTGGTTCTTCTGAGATTGTGTTCATTCGACCAGCGCGACCGGGGCCGGTTCCCCGACCGGCTGGAGTACTGGAGTGGTCTTCGCCCTCGTCGACAGGATCGTTGTCTTCTGTTCGGCTAGGTGAGAGGCCATCACCGCCGTCTTGCCGATCGGTATGCGCTCGATCCATCTGATGAGTACAAGGCTGAGCTATTCGCGATGCTTCTAAAGGTCTTTCAGACGGGATTTCCAGATATACTTATACTCATAGTTCTGGTAGCAATAGGTACCAATCGGTTTGTTGTTGGCGCGCTCAGAGCGGCTAGTCGTAGTGATGTAGTCTTGTTTGTGGGCATAGAGGGAAACACCAAAAACTGATATTCGTATCCGCAAAGTATGGTCCCGAGCGAGACCCAGCTATTGTTTGTCGCAGGAGATGCGTGAGTTTCAAAGAAGTTACAGTACCGCATGATGACCAAGCTCATGAACAAGATAATACCATAGTGGTAAGTGTTGTGGTAACACCAGAGTCACGTCGCAAATCATTTTGTATGCTCCCTGCATATACGGGAGCTTGATCGTGGTATTAGTATTATTGAGTTGGTGTTTACAACTCCGCCTGACTTCAATTATCCTCACTCTCAAGATTACCAACTGCAGAACTGGGTTCGTATGAACTTCTTCAGAGCACTGCATCATCGCCAAAGTGCTTCGCATACATTCCCAGCGCCTTGATCGGGAAGATGAACTTGTAGTTCGGATAGGAGATCATACTGTTCTTATATTAGCCACCATTCACCATTAATCAATAATGCATGAACTTACCAAGACTTGTTGAACACTCCCTCAATAGCCTCCTGCAACCACTCTCCGTTGGCTTGCTGCCTCTGCATGATGAGCTTGACAGCCCTTTCGAGCGGCTCTTTGTGTGGGAACCCGCCCTCAATCATTGCGATGACCACCCAAGCAGTCTGCACAACCTGACTGCGCGGATGCTGCTGCCAGACACCGGTCTCACAGCTCTTGTACGTCTCGCCCCAGCCTCCATCTTCCATTTGCTTGTCTAGGAAGAACTGACACGCCCTTCTCACACGTTCAGAGTTGCTGTACTGCTCTCCCGAGCACTTGAGTGACTCAAGAGCAAACATGCCGGCATAGGTAAAACAGATACCCCAGCTGCCGTACCAAGATCCATCTGGGCGTTGGGCGGCGCGAATGTATGCCACCGCGCGGTCGCGGAAGGCAGAGATTTCCGCGGCACGGTAATCGGGGTAATGATGTTGGAACATGTCGAGGGCGGTCACGACAGCCGTTGTGCATTCAGGGTAGTCATACTCGATCATGATGTTGCCGAAGACTTCTGCTGCGTTGAGATGTTCAAGGAGTACGCTACCCCGTGTCGGCTCATAAGAAGCACAGCCACCAGAAGCGTTCTGCATAGTCAGCAGGACGTCGATGGCATCTTTCACGCGGCGTTCGTTGATAAGTTCAGGGAATGCGTTATCCCTCTGGAGGATAAGTGTGCTCTTGAGACCTTCGGATGTGCAGTCGCTCACTGTGTAGCCCTGCTTTCGTGTACTGAAGCCCCAGGCACCTTTGCGTTGTTGACGGTAGCATGCGTGTTGGTCCCTGGTTTCCTCAAGAATCTGCTGGTCTTCTAGGAACTCAAGACTCTTTGTGAGCATATGCTTCCATTTCTTATCCTTTGACCAGCCGCAAGAGTCAACAGCTTGGATGAGGAACGCGGTGTCCCACGTCTGTACACCGTTTGTACCGTTCATAAGCATGCCTTCATCCTTTACCCAGAGGAACTCCGGAAGCGTCTTGAGATGCTCGCGAACAGCATGGGACTTGGGTCCTTCTTTGATGTAAGCAGCCAACATGTTCATGGGACCGTTGACAGGACCCAGATTGGCGAAGTCGGTGTTCTCATCCTCGGCTTCGATCAGCCACCATACATGCTCTTCAGCCCGCTTCACCATCCAAGTGGGCCTGATGTATGGGAACCATATAGCGGCCATGAACCAAAAGAGGACCTTGAGCATCCAAGATTTCGCGTGGTAGTTGTCCGTCGGGGCAATAGTATTCCGCCGTGCGCCAAAGTTGATGCTCTCAAATGGCTCCATCAACAATTCGGCTCGCAGTTGACGTGTAAGGTCATTAAGCGGGTATGACCACTTCTTGGAGTAGACGTAGGACATGGGCAGGAAGACCTGTCGCATATGTATCCACCACCTCCACGGCGCGATAGGGACCCAGTCTGGCAGCAGCCACAGCTCAGGTGGACAGGGGTTGACAACGTCCCATTCCGTCACACCCAACACGCTCAACCAAAACTTTGCCCAATGCGGACCGTTGAGCGCGCCACCTAATTTCCAAAGTGTGTCCCGCGCCTTCCGCATTCTGGGGTCTTCTGCGTCGACGCCAAGCAGCCTCAGGACAGTATAGTTCATTGCCGTACCAAACACGGTACTCTCTCCCTCGATATGTAGCCCCCAGCCACCGTCTTCTGGATTCGCGCGGGCAAAGAGGTAGTTCTTGATCTCGATCGCATGCGACGCTGGTATCGGTGTCTCGGTGACATACCAAGTGACTACGAGGCCTGGGAGGAGGAACATGGGACCGCCGTATTCGCAGGCCCAGTTGCCAGGTGGGAGCTGGAGTTGGGAGAAGAACGTGAGGCCATTGTGCGCAGCTTCAAGGGGTGTCTTTGCGGGTGCAAGGGCTGGTTGTTCCTGAGGTCAACGTCAGTTGCTGGTGTCGTCTGCACGGTTGAAAAAGGTGCATACGCACCGTGTCGAGGCCTAGGAAGTACTTGTCCGCTGTACTCTGCGGCCACGACTTCATTTCCTCGTCGCTTTGCAGATAGTGCCATGTCTGACATCCTCGGTCGTCCTTGAGCCTCCATCTTGTGTAATCTGTCTTTTCATCTCCCTCGTGGCTCTTGGTCACGCCCACCGCGTCGTTCAGTATCTTCTGGCTCCCGCTGCGCTTTGCTGCGCCGTTAGTCGTGCCATTAACATGCGACATGATGGATTCCTGGTCTGCGAAGTCTTCAGTGTTGTCCTACACCCCTCCACTCGTACCGGGAAGGCGTGATGGCGGTGACTTGGCCTCTTGCTGGGGTCGAGCACTCCGGGTCGGACGTCTTGGCAAGCATGCATGAGTAGAGGCAAGCGCGGTCTTGCCAATCAACCTTGGGACGTGAAAGAGAGTGGATGTGCAGCGCAGATCAGCTTTACTCCCATGAACTAGTAGACATTTACATTCAGACTGTGTGAATGCGATGCGTAGTTCGCATTCGCAAACTTTCTGCTTCAACAATTCCATGGACCCTGAACGCGGGTCCTCACATCCCTGCCACGTCCATCGACCAAACCTTGAAGCCACTGCAAAGACGCACGTCAACGACTGTCCCAGCATCCCCTACTTCTTCGAAACTCGCGCGCGCTCCCGATCTACCATCATCCCCATCACACATGCAGCCACTTGCCCTTTGTCGCCCCTGACTCAACAGCCGCACAGCAGTCTTGGCAGGCACTCCCGCGGCGAAGCGCGCGATCGACAAAAAGCTGACCACTCGGCTCACGCAAGGCTTACATTCCCGCCCCCTTTCAAAGTTACGTGCGCAACGTGACGCACAGATCGCCAATCGTCGCATCGCGGGATGAGGGAGGATCCGAGGCCGAAGGTCTGCATCGACGATGAGCTTGATGGAGCCATGACTTCATTGATCGCATACGTGGACTTGCGTTTGAGAGGCATACATGCTGAAGGGAAATGAAGATCAGCACGAGTGACGAAATCGCGAGGTGATGTAGAAGCGATGTAGGCATGGCATCATTGTGAACTTGGGGATGAACGATTACTCGTGCTTGTATTCAATGCTCGCATTCAGTTGGCGGCGGGTATGATGTGGTACGTATTTACAGATACTACACGTCGAGTATCGAACTAGCGAGAGCCTCCAGGGCAATCGCTCTGCACGCTCAAGACTGAGGAATCCGCCAAGAAAAAAAGAGACATGAGCAACATATGGAAAAATGCGTGTGCCATCCAAACAAGAAAACACCGTGTAGTTGCTCTTGGAAACGTGCCATAGACAAGGCCGTGTAATGCTAAACATGCTTCGAGAGGTAAAAAGAGAAAGCGGTGAATCGTGGTCTTGTGTATGTGGTAATCGTGTGCTGTGGTGGTAGTGGCAAAATAAAATCGTTGTTTCGGGTATCGCAGAAAAGGTAACCTCTCATCCATACGCGCTTGTTGGGTATGCGTGATTTCAATCGCTAAGATCGGGGTTTGCGACGAAGAGCCTCGTCCCCATGGTCATGGTCCGCTCGTCCACGCTGCCTCTTCGAACTAGGTCATCCTTACTGCCCTTCTTATCTGTTGCAGCGGGTGGCTTCAACATTCCAGGCTCTGGCATTTGCCCCACATCGCCAAAGTTGCGTTCCCCACTACTGCCACTGCCTGTGCTTGTGTTGGTCTTGGTATGTTGGAAGTAGCTGTTGTCGTTGGGCGCGTTGACGTCGTATTCGGCTGGTGAAGGGGTCGGCTCTTCTTTAAGGTCGGCGAGCTCGCCGTCCGGGGACGAGTTCAGCGGGGGAGTGCTGTTAGAGGATATACGGCCGGAGGGGTTGGCGTAGGACATGCGTCGTCCTGAACCGAGCGAGGAACGGCCTGAACCTGTGCGGTGGTGGTACTGGCCATTCTTGACTGAGCCTGCGTCTTCGTCGTCGCCCTCGTCCACCTCGGAAGCACTGAGGCGCATAGGAACACCAGACCCTGCATACGTGACAGGTGCATATAGCGATGCTTTTGGCAGACCGTGGTGACGCCCAATCTTGGACCGCACACCGCCGGCCATGCTAGATCCTCCTGAAGCACTTCGCGGGGGGACGTGGTGGGGTCCGCCTGCTACCTCCATGTTTGCCCGCATCTTAGCCTGCCGTTGCTGTGCAAGCATGCGGGGGTCTTCGTATTGGGCCCGGTCACACCACACAGTAGCCTTTTGTTTCCGCATGAGTGCAACGTACGAGGTGGGCGAGTTGCCGCCGGAGCGGGTGGACGAGGAGCGACGGAGGGCGCCACTGTTGGAGCGGTTCGGCGTGCCAGTGGTAGAGCTCGTTGACGAGGTCGGGGTTCGGCGGAGACTGCTCTGGTACTGGGTAGGGTATTGCGAGTTCATGG